AAACAAAACAAAACATCAAAGACTGTACAGAAGAAAAAGTGTGACTCTGTAAGGGATGAGATGTAGATTCAGATGAAGACTCATTATGTTCTGTGTGATTTTGGATGAAGCAATAGTTCATTGTATAATAACCGGTTGATTGATGGGCTTCAGAAAGATTATAAACAGGTACATAGTATGAGAGCATTGCGGGGGGGCTCTGTGAATGTAACTCATCTTTCCACCATCTTCATTTATTCAACAGATATTTATAGAGCAGCTAATTTTGTGACAGAAAATTATTTGGGTCAGTATAAGCCACCTTAGGTGACAATAATGGAAACATCCCTACCCATCCCTAATCTCAGTTGCTCAAATACAACACAAGTCTCTTCCTTTAATTTACTGCACATTTAGGACAATTCTCTTTGTAGCAGTGTAGACTTCTTTGCTATTTTAACCTAAGCATCTTAATCCAAAATTGTTGTAAGGCTCACCACAGCAGAGAAAGCTGTCCTGAACTGCTTTAGATATGTTTATTTGAAAGTGATACTCATCTCCTGTAATTCACTGGCAACAATTAGTCCTTTGGCCTCATCCTGCTGTGAGAGGGTGACTATGGCGTCTTCTGTGTTGTACATCCAGTAAGAGACAAGAACTGGATGTCGTTGAACACAAGCAATGTCTACTAATACTCACGTAGGCACTGCATGCTTGTCAGTGAGCATGGCAGGTATCATTTACCCTCCCCACGGAACTCCCAAACCAGTGGCACTGATCCAGAGAATGCTAATATCTATGAAGAACTACATTTTAGCCAAAGCCAGGGAAGAAACTAGATCAAAGAGGTGTCATTCAATATGTATTAAGTGATGTGGGAAAAGAGGAAAGGGTAACAGTTTTGTATAAGTGACAAGTATAGAGAACTTAGAAATTCTCAATAAATATTTACCGAATGAATGTTAAGTGAGGAATAAGAAGAAATTTAGCTGTAGGAAATGAAATAGGAAAGGCAACAGAGACAGATATAGGAAGAAAAACACATGGAAACAGTTTATGCTTTTCAAATGTTCTGAATAATATTTGGGAATAAAAGCTGTTCTTGCTGTATCTACTGCTTCCAGTATGCCTGAAATATTTCCATGCTTGTCTCTTCTGCCATAGTGGGGGGTGGAGAGGACCAACTTCCCAACTAGCCTGTTTCATTCTTACCTAGTCAAGAGCAAGAAATTTGTTGTGTAATTTGCACCTGACTGTCTACTGGAATGTTTTGTGATAAAACAAGTTTGCTTGATTGGCAGTTGTCAAACAGAGGGGTCACGAGAAAGTTCACTGCTGTGAAGACTTAAAATGTTACATAGTTAAGCAAAAAGCTTGTAAATATAGTTCTTTTTTTAAACATTAGAGGTGGTTTCCTAAAATCATTAAAATTTATTTACATAAAAATGTCTATTGAAGAAAAGAGAAAACACAACAATCCCAAACATAAATCCTTTTAACATTTTGGTATACTTTACTGCAATTTGTTTCTAGGCACACATATCCATTTGTTTTACAGAATCAGACTATATAATATGTACTATTCTGTCATCTCCATTTTCCTTTAAAGTATTTTGTGAATATTTTTCCATGTCAAGAAATATATTTCTGCAACATTATGTTTAATGACAACATGCTATTGTATCACATGTGTGTCAAAACATATTCATTTATCCCATTAGATTGTTTACAGATAGTTGCCATTATAAACAAAACTGTTATGAACATACTCCAGCTGAAACTCAGTATACTTTTTATTTTATAGGCTAACTTTTCTAAATTGAAATTATTGTTACAGAAGTTATGCACACTTTAAAGTTTATAATGTATATTATCCAACTGCCCTCTAAAAGACTGTTTCAGCTTGCAGTGCTACCAACAATGGATGAGAACAAAATTGTTTAGGAGTGAATAAATCTGTTGTGTGGTTCTGGAATTTGGATGTATTATTAAACATATGTTTAATCTGGGCATCTATTAGCAGAAAGGGTCACTCTGGATATTATCTCTGCAACCTCCATCTTATATTTAATGCTTTGTGCTAAAATCAGAAATACGAGAGTTTCTTTGAAGGGAATTTAAGATAGATCCACATATTCAGCTAAATGGGTTCACTGATATCTGGAAACTGAGGTAAGATCCTTGATTGATTCATTAAATATCTTAAATGAGTTCCTCACTTAACGAAGTGTATTGAGGTCTGCCATTTGATATCATCTATGCCTAGCATGTGATTAATATTTATGTATATCATTGATGCTTGAACATTAGGAAATTTCCCATTAGAAAACAAAAAAAGTCAGCTAAATCAGTTATTTTAAATTTTGGCATGGGTAGAATAATTGTGTGTTTAAAATATGTAATCTACTAATTTAGACATAAGTGACACTTTAAAGTATGATTTTATGAGGAATGTTTTTATAATTGTTGCTCTTTTCCCACCCTTATATTTCAGGAGGCACTTTCTTGTGCCTTCTTGACATCACAGCAGACAGCTGGCCTGCTTCCACTACCTCTCATGTAGAATTCACTCTAAGAAACGGACGGTATAGGACTTTGTGAAGCCATGTTTGATGCTATCACTAGAAATCTTTTCCCCATCTATAAAAACTGTTACTAATTATCTCTAGTGACCACTTACTCCACCACTGGTTTTCAACAGTATCCAACATTTACAATTATTAAGTCATATCTCTCAAAATAATTATCTCAGGATTAAATTCCTTTGCTGCCATTTTTACTAGTCCCATCAAGTGAAGGACTATTAAAACTACCAAATTCTTATCAGTTGATGACATTTCAGGCTAATGTACCTTCTTCAAAGTACTGTACTTTGTTCAAAAATAAATTAATAGACAGTGCCTAGTACTATGAGTCATTATAAAGACTTTAGTAAAAATGCCTTTTTTGCTAAGGGATAATTTGGGAAAGAAAAATCTCACTTGTGTGTTCAGCCCCGTGTGTGTCTGTGTATATATGTATGTATATTTTGTACAGGGGATCAAACTCAGATCCTTATGCTTGAGAGGCAGGCGGAACCACTGAGCTAAATCCCCAGCCCCAGCCATATATTTAAACAAAAAGGAATTCACACAAATCCCTTGTGTGTTCTTATGCAAAGTTACTATTGAATATGGAAGCTCTTGTCCACTTATAAGAAATATTTAAAGAAGACAGTAGCATTTTAATACATTTATCTTGTTTAGGAACATGGAAAATAGAGGTTAATGCAGTCTGCTGTTTTAAAAATACTTGCACTAGAATCTTTTTAGAATTATAATCTCTACTCAGTTAAACTCCAAATCCCAAACTGCATCTACTTTTATGAGAGGGAGAGGGAGAGGGAGAGAATGAATATTTACAATAGGTGGTCTCTTGGGAATCCATAGCCAAAATTTTTAGTACTCAAAATGAAAAATTAAGAGAACTGAGGGGCTAGATTTCCCTGTAGTGTTACTCACTTTTTTACATATATTATGTTATATTGTTTCCATTCTTTTCATCTAAGAAGAGAATCAGACAAAAAGAACATTTTACAAATAAGGTGGCAGCTCTTTGATTGATATAGTTGAACAAAGCATATGGTATACGCTTTCCTCTCAAACTGTTTGGAGTCTTGTTCTTGCCCACAACGGTAGTATATATATGAGAACTATCCAAAAACTTCCCAGTGGTGCATGTGTGCAATTCGCATCATCTTAAAAAGCAATGAACACTGTGCCATTGTGTCTTTATTATTTGGAGTAAATCAAACTGAGAGATTTAGAGCTTAAAATAAATTGTTATAGAACTCTAATTCTATAAGATCTTACAGTTTCATAATACAAAAATGCCATTTAAAATGTTAATTAAAAGATGCATTTGTTTTAATTTATGATACTGAAAATATTGACTGAATTGTGAATTAACACATTTAGGGGTGCAGATGTCATTTTTCATGAGATTTCCTGAATGATGTAATTTTCATATTTCTTATAGCAGTTTAATCAATTTACAGATTTATTTTACATAATTAGTTGGTAAATGAGAAATTTCATTGCTGGTATACAACTATTTTTCTGTAATATATAAAAGGAAGTTAAAATTCTGAATTATAAATAAAAAACAAATATTTTGAAGACATCTGGTCTACATCTGTCTGAAATAATTTAAAACAGCGTAATTAAATGCAAGTAATACTGATATATTCACACCTTATAAATGTAAAAAACTCATTTTAATGTGATTTGTTGAATTTGAGAAATTTTTGAGATTGTAACGTCTTTTAACATCTCATTCTGTCATTAGAAAGAAGACTGACAAACTAAACAAAAATAATCCATGTTTTTCAAGTCCTACATTAAGTGAATGTATAATCTTTATTACTATTCTTTTATATGTTGAATAACCTCCACTTCTAAGTAAATATTCATCAAATGTACACTCAGACTAATTCTGAAACTAATATTTCACCATTCAATTATTTAAAATAAGATATTATTGAAAGGGTCTATAATCTCACTCTCTAAATTGTGTTTTCCTTCTGAGCACAAAGGGGCTCAATAAATGTGTAAAAAAGGCACTCAGACCTGTGGAAATGAAAAGCATTTTAAGTACACTTTCATGATCCATACAGACTCATCCTTTGAACATCGGTCGTTCATTTTTTAAAAATGTGTTAAGTGAAAATTTGGGGAGAAATACTATGTAATTTCTGTAGTTAAAACTTAAAATGTTAAAAAAAAATCCTCTGTTAACAAAGGCAGAGACTTATAATTTCATTGCAACTAGATTTGATCATAAAGAGAAGTCTGTGGGTGTTAAAACACTCATTGTTGATTCTACAGTATAAGGTTAAGGGAGAAATTTCTGCTTGAATGCCAGAGGCTCCCCTAACCAGCAGCACACCCTGCAAGGAGCAAACAGTTGAGGCCACTTCTTTTAACACATACCCTAAGGTTGTATACCCTAATGCAAATTATATTTTGTGTGTTTATTTCCAGGGAGCATGACAAAGATCCAGAGAGTTTTTTTAAGATATTAATACATCTAAAGAACTTAGGACTTGTTTTCCACGTGTCTGTCCTTGGAGAAACTTTTACAGATGTCCCAGGTACTTCTTTTGAATTTTCTAATTGTATTTTTATAGATTACTTTAAGTACTACAATTTAAGTATTAATTTCCATGTTTTTCTTTGTTAGAGTAATCAAGATGAGCACTGTTAGCCAAAAGATTATAGGATGGCATTAAAGTGAGATTCAATTAAAAAATACTTAAGTAAGCATTCTTGATGTAAGTTGAGAACGTGAAGTCATCTGTTTTATAAAATATAGTTTATATAATGCATCTTGATGTAAATAAAATATATTGCTGTAGGCATCTTAACACTTAAGAAAGTGGGAATTTGTAATTGGATGTACAACCTCTCACCTCGAGGGTCACTTTTTTGAATCCTACTCACATTGGTAATGACCAAAATACATTGCCATCTGTTAGGTGACCTGTGTAAATTGTTTTGGTGTCTAACTTGTAATGTGGAATGGACAGCAGTCCGTGTCATTGATCTCTGTGTTTTTCATTGAACTTGGGAAAGACAAAAATTGAAGGCTATTTACAGCAGGTCCTCTTTTTTAATATTTTTATTGGTACATTTTAGATATTCAATGCAGTTACATTCATCACTGGGATCTTGTACCTTTACATGACAGGTCTTGGTTCTTATTTTTCCCTGTTCCCCTATCCTCCCTTCCCCCCTCCACCTTTCCCTATTTACAAAGACTTTGTTTCTTTTTCTTTTATTTTTTTCTCTTCCCTTTTTACCTTTCCCCTACCTCTCCCATTTGCCCAATATCTTTAAGCCTTTTCTTCCTATTACAAAATATCAATTATACATTTACACATATTTACACTTTTAGGTCCTCTTGTTACTGCCACACCGAGTCTTTTACCGGCATTTCTTTCACTGTGAATGCTCACTAGTCATGTTAGGGTGAGTAAAATGAACATTCTGACACTTCTCATAGCCACTTGTATTCTTGTTTTTAGAGCTTAGGTATTAAGTATTGTTTGAAAACCAAATATAAAGGCAACAAAATTCAGAAATGACCCTTGTTTAGAAGTGATCTTTGTCATCATGCATTAGAACACTTCAGTAAAGTTTACTCTTACTTAGCAAGTACTTCTTGATTCTAGTTCAGTGCTGGGAACTACATCCAACCTGTGTTCATCAACCTCATCTTCTGTGGCCTATCTTCTATCTTCTGCACCTTATAATGAACACTGGCATTTACTTGGCTTCCTCTGTGCACCAGGCTGCCATTTTACATTTACTCCTCTTTCATCCTTTTCATCTCAACTCTAGGACCTTTTTCTTTTAGCACTTCATATGTTTCTTCATGATGTTTCCTTGGTTTCTAATTATTTTATATATGTGTAAAAGTTTTTACCTCATCCTCTACACACACATACACACACACACTGGAACATAGATTGTATGGAGACCAGAGAGTATATCTCTCCTGTCTATTATTATGCCCCAAAAGCCAGTGCAATGACTAGCACCGTGCTGCAACTCAATGCATATTTATTAAATAAAAATAATGTAAGCAACCTGCCCTCAAGGAATGTATAGTTTTGTTACAGAGATACTTGTGCATAAGCATAAAAGCCAGAGAATGAAAACACAAGATAATCCAATATTGACACATGGGACTAAAAGTGTTAATTGAAGAGGTAGTACATGAGTAGCCAAAGCTGTATGAGTAGCCAGGGTAGAAAAAAAAATATTGATTGGGTTAGGTTATTCCAAGATGGGAAACACCATGAGCAAAACATGTAGAAACAAGCATTGTAGATATTGTGTTTAAATGAGAGAATGATTTCAAAATTCTGTGAAGTTAATGTAAGTAGAAGAGGAGATTTTGCATGCAGACTCTATAGTAAGTTATTACCTACTCTACACAGACTGGGAAAGGTCGAAATAGGGAGGATTTTGATCACAAAGTAGATTAGGTAAAGGGAAAGAACAGGGAGTCTACAATGAAGTAGGAAATGAATCAGATGTAACTTGTATTTTATGAAGCTGTATCTTGAAATGATATTCAGGCAGAATCATGATAAGATTGCATGATGGAAATCCCAGTGTGTTTCTGTGCTTTGGGTTGAGAGGTTTTGAGAAGACTCTATGAGAGGGGATTTTTCAAGGAAAACACACAGAAGAATTTGGTGGGTTGATAGCCAGGAAGGAAGGAAGGAAGGAAGGAAGAGGAAGGAAGGAAGGAAGGAAGGAAGGAAGGAAGGAAAAGAGAAAATCAGATTTGCAAAGGTGGTGCATCAGTTTGTTCATGTCTCACTGAGATATCTGTGGAAGCCCATTAATTTTTATAAGATTTATAACAGGAAATATAAAATGATCATTTTATCACATTTATTCAATACAAGAATTAAAATGACACCTGCTCAAGCAACACTCAGGATAGTCAGTACATAAACAAACGCACCACCTGGGTGATGCTTGGGATAAACTTTTAAGTATTTAAAATGGTCAATTGTAATTTATAATTCTACTACAATTTATAGCTCTTTTGTATCGTTCCTTCATTGTACAAAAGAGGAGAGAGACTAGTGAGAGTTAGTGACTTTCCAAAGACTTCGCAACTGGGCACAGCAAGCAATACGGGTAGTGGATGGTGCCAAGTTTAGGAGTAGAACCTGAGAGTCAGACTCCTAATCCCTAGACATGTAGGATGAAATAGTGAATAAAGTAGATATTTTATGTGAAATTGGAATTGTAGTTCAGTACTTTATTTATCACCAGTAGAAGACTCCTTAAAAACATTAGCTCTAGCACTTCTTGAGCTTGTAGTATTTGCCAGGCACTGTTCTAAATTCTTCAAGCATTGCTTTACCTATACTTCACAGCAGCCCCCTGAATTAGAATTACCATTCTACGTCTAAGAAAAGTAAGGTGCAAAGAGCTTAATGACATTTGCCTGAAACCACCCGGCTAGTCAGTTAGAAAGCCATAAACCTTGTCTGTCTGTATCCAGGCTAATACTCGCCTAAGCTTTACCTGGAAATCCACAAAAATATGGGTAAGAAAAACGTTTTGTAGGTTAGAAATCAGAAGGTGGTAGTGGTGGGAAATTCTTGAGTGATCATATAATTTCCATTTTTTTCCTGACAATCTTTGCGCACAGAAAGCTAGAAAAAACAAAAACCTCAGATTCATTTCCCCCCACCGTCATGGATGTTAAAGTAGATCCCCTCTTTCTTTGGTCTGTCTTCTTTACAACAAAGGTATCAAAACCAATATGAAGTGGAAAAATATCCAGATAACACTTGTCATATATTTACTGTTCAGTAAATATTTGAATGAACAAATGAAAGTTTGGCAAATAGAAGAGTTAGATTTACATCCCACATCAGATATATAGAAATATAAATTGAAGCCATTTCTGAATACTAAACAGTTAGTGGGTAAGTGCATGCCTGTAATCCCAGCACTCAGGAGGCTGGGGCAGGAGGATTGCTGTGAGTTCGAGACCAGCTTGGGTTACATAGTGAGTTCTAGGTCAGTCTCAATTACATAGTGAGACCCTGTCTCAAAAAAACAAAACAAAACAGTTAGTGGGTGAATATGGAGATATTTTTAAGTATAAGTAAATTCTAGATGCTTTATATTTTCTGTTTTAATATTAGTGACCTTATTTTATGTAATTTTATATAGTTTTCTCATTTCTTAGCTCTTAAGTCAGTCAGAATAAGCTAGATTATGATAAAGTAAAAGATAATTTAAAAGCTCAATATTTTTAAACACATAAGACATATTTCTTGCTTGTGTCCTAAGTTCCTAACAGATGAGCAGAAATGTGTTCTGTTCACTCTGGTCACTCCAGGACCCAAGCCATCAACATTTCAAAGATTGCCAGTTACCAGAAGGAACAGAATACGCAGGAACTCCTCCTATCGGAATTAAGTGCTCCTACTTAGAAATAGAGCATGAGGTTCCACCCACCTCATTGGCCAGGATGTTTGCAAGTCCCTACCTGGTAATAAGGAGGGTCAGGTAATGCAGTTCTGCTCTATGCCAAAAATAGAGGAAAACAGAAATATTTGGTGACCTGGGCTATTGACCACTATACCCAATTAATATACATCATAGCCTGTGGGTTCTCAGAGAAAAATCCAAGCCTATCCAAGATTGTACCTTAATCTAGGTGAGGCTATCCTTAAAGAGCTCTGCACACATGAAAGTTTTGCCTTAGTCTTTGTGCTGGGAACAGGTCATCTGGCATCTGAAGACACATTTAGCAACTGTGTTCCATAAGGCAGAACCATTATGAAGTGGAAGTGGTCTCTGGAAAATGGAATCAGTTATCACTTACTTGGCATTCTGAAAGACTCTAGTTGTTGTCAACCAGTAGTTTTCCCAGAGGACATGTGGCAGTGTTGAGAGACATTTTTTATTGTCACAACTACTGAGCAGGTGATGGTACTTCTGGTATTTAGTGGGTAGAAACCAGCAAAGCTCCTGAACATCCTATAGTGCACAGGATGGCCCAACAATGAAGATTTATCCAATCTAAAATGTCAGTAGTGCCAAGATTGAGAAAGTGATGTACAAGAATTAGAAACAGCAAACCAGGAACTTGGTTATGTAGCTCTCTAGGTTAACCTCAGTTAACCCATGTGTTCGATCAAAAAGAGATGGGAATGTGCCACCACCTGCCTCTCGAGCACAAGGTCCCAAGTTTGATCCCTAGTACCAAAAAAAAAAAATAATAATAATAATAGTAATAATAATAATAATAATAAAATAAAATAATTTCTTTAAAAAGGAGATGGGAAAGGGTAATAGTAGAAAAACCACCTGTCCTATTCATTTTAGCAAGTTATAATGAGAATTTCAGCACAATTATATAATTTGGGGAAACTGCTTTCTAAACTGCTATACAGATTTTATTTTAAAATTGTGGACTTCCCTTCAGAGTTTGTAGATGGATTGGGTTTTTAATGCATTTGGATCCAAAGAAGACATTACTGATGCTGTACCTGAAAAGTTCATTTGTTTTTATGCAGAAAATTAAGGAAGGAAGGAAGGAAGGAAATAT